AAAAAAAAAAAAAAAAAAAAAAAAAAAAAAAAAAAAAAAAAAAAAAAAACTAATCAAGACCTGATTTACCTAACTATCTTTATAGGCACTCAAATATAATTTGCTGCACTAGACTAACTTATAATCAGTTTTTATTTTATAATTTCAAACAATGCTAAAAACTAATTATCAAACCTAGAATTATACTTGTTTATATATGTTACATTTATCTACTATCTAGATTTTTAACTTTTTATTATTACTATATTCAGCTATACTTATGTTTTTTGCATCTCTAACCTTTTTATTATTAAACAACTCCCAAATTGATAATTTTCAAATTTGTAAATCCTTATGATCTCTTAGTTTAGTATGTCTGTTATTGGTTTCTTAAGATATTTTAATATGTGTTCAGAATTTATAGGAAAATCTATATTTAAAGTCAAAAACTGCTATTTAGTTAGATTTTTATATAACTAAGTGGTATTATATTGTTAGATAAACCCTCCTATTTATTTGCCTAAATATTACTAATATATATATCAAGCTAGCCTCTACTATTGCTATTTTCTTTAAGTAAATAACTTAAGTCATTTTTATTTTTATCATATAGCAGCTTAGTACTACTATACTTTCAGTTTATACTTTTTATTATGATGAAGAAACAGAATTTTTATCACCTATATTTAGAACAATTCTAGTTATATTTAGAGTATTTCATCTATTTTAGTAATACTATACTACTATATAGTATAAGCTTTTAGTTAAGATACAGCATAGTATAAAACAATTCTAATTGTATTTAGGAAGTTACTTCAATTCTGTTAATATCATGCCTTCTTGATTTTTATTTTTAGCATATAGCTGTTATTCTAAATTAGTATATATATTATTGTTAGAATATTTCTAAATCACTTTTCATCTATAGATTTATATATAGATGTAACTAATGCCTGATTTAGTATCTTTATATATAAAAGGAAGTTTAGTCTATCTTCATATTTTAATCTTTTATATTAACTTTAGTCAGTTGTATTAGAGTTGCTTTTGCTTCTAATAAGACCAATTCTTTACTACAGACTATATATGTATTCACCACTTTTCTTACTACTTTCAACTTTGGTTAATAGTAACTATCTTTTCAAACAAGTATCCATATTTTCAATTCAGATAAGAGCTTATTTATACAGTATATTAATTGTTTTTACACAAGTACTTCACAAGTTAAGTGTATAAAGATATTAGTATTATTTAAATTAAAAATATATAAATGTTAATGCTGCCTCATCTCTAAGAACTTACTCATACTGTTATTATAAATAGCATCTTTTGCAACATCACATTTATATATAATACTATCTACTTCATATTTTAGGTTTCCTCTAAGAATTCTTATTCTAGTTGTATACTGCACTTAAACTTGACTATAGAGTTTCATATTTAAATTAGCTACTAAAGATTATAGAAATAAATATTAATTTGCCTCTAGTATAGCTTAAACTGTTGACCTTGTCTATGAAAATTTAAGAGCTTAACTAATAAGCTATAGGATCTAAATACTTTTATTTTTTTAATACTAATATTATATACGTATAAATTATTATTTAGTATAATATAATAAAATAAAAAATTTAAAATATTTAATTGTTAAAAATTTTAACATTAAATATAAACAAACTTAAATTATTAATATTAAAAATTTTAATAAAAACTCAAAAAAGAAAATATTTAATTTATACTAGGGATATTGATATCCAGGGTACTATATCTCAAAAACTTGAATAAGAAACAGGGTCAGGTGTACTAAGTAAAAATGTTTAAAAAATCCCAAAACTTTGTGTAACCTAAATTAAACCAAATATCTCACCCTATTTTGGTGTAAAACTGCATCCTAACCTTAAAGTTTAATAAAAACTATTATATCTTAAAATATAACTAAGAAACAGGGTTAGATATACTAAGTAAAAATGTTCAAAACCTTGTGTAACTTAAAATTGAACTATTATATCTGATCTTTATTTGGTATTAAACTGTACTCTAACCCTAAATTTAGCAAAAAATTATTTTTATAATAAATTTGGGGTTTCTCAGTGCTTCTTTTATCATTTTTTGGTGCCTCTTTCATCATTTTTTGGTGCTTTTTCATTACTTTTTTCAGTGCATTTGTTACTTTTTTTGGTGCTTCTTTTGTCATTTTTTGGTGCCTTTTTCATTATTTTTTGATACTCTTTTAGCACTTTTTTCAGTGCTTTCGTTGCTTTTTTTGGTACTTTTTTTGTATCAATATCCCTAGTGTAAAATATATTTTTACATTTTTAAAATCAAACAAAATAATTTTTTTACTAATTTTATAATTTATAAAAAATTAGTATAGTGATTTGAATCTTGTAGCTTAGTAGTTAAGCTTTTAATCTCTTAAAAATAAGATTAATAGTTTAAGATAAATTAAAAATAATTTGTAAAAACAATTGTATCTATAATTTAAAGTACGTGCTATATCAAATATAGGCATTTCTAGGCATCTCTAACCAGAGATGCTTAATAATAATATTTCAGACCTAAAAGCTAATTAATATATTAAATAATTATGTAATTACCATTTTTATATAAATAAAGAACAATCATCGTGAATCAGTCTGACAAAACAAAAACAATAACAAAAAATGTGAAAAAGTAAAGAATATAAAAAAATCAAAATGGCTATTTAAACCTATTTTAGGTCACTAATTAAAAGTGTCTGGGAAGGCAATTTTGCTTATATAACCTATCTTTGCTTTAACCCTAATTCTAATTAAGTTGTATGATAAACATAGCTTTGTGTTAGAGATATATAAGCTAAACATAAGTATTATATATAAGTTATACAAAATCTGAGTAAAGCAGCTATATAAAACCAACAGATTAAAGAATAGAAAGCCTACATGGCAAAACTCGAGTAGAGAGGTAGCACAGATTTTTGACAATACTATATATATAAAAAATTATTATTTGAAAAACTAAAAAACTAAACAGAACTGAAGTATTTGGCAAATACTCTACTAACAAGGCTGCTGAAAAAGTAATTAGATGAAAACAACTCTACTTTAAAAACCAGAAGCAGGTCACAGCCCTTTTAGACCATTTAAATTAGAAGTTTGAAGTAATCAAAAGTATTATTAATAGTCTATAAAGTGTATACTGAAATTTGAATAAACACTATAAGAGCAAAAGTAGATAATGGTAGCAGAGGTAAAGGCTACAAGTACTTGTCTTCAGACTTGACATAAGTTATTAAAATCTAAGTTAGCCAGATTGTAGATATAAAAACCTCTAGCAATAATATTTTAAAAATAAATTAATTCTAAAAAAAACCAGTCAGGATCTAGGGCTTCTTGCCTGATGAATATAATAGAGATGTACTAGTAACACAAGCAGATTTGCATTACAGAGGGTTTAAATAGATAATCTCTGTAGTTAGATTACAAATATGACAGTGTAAAATCTATAATGTAAATTGTAGGTGGACTACTTAAAATAGACACCAAAAGTGTATATGTAGTTAGTATATATTTTCTAATATAAGGGTTTCTTTGAGGCTAATAGCTGTGAACCCTTTGCTCAATAATAATTGAATAAAAACCAGCTTCAAAGAGGCTAGTTAATAAAAAAAAAAATCCAATTTACAACCTTTTTAGTCAATATTAAACCAACATTTTTAATATAATACTTTTAAAAAATAAATTAAAATTAAATTTACTTTATCTTAAATAACTGCATTCTGTTAAAAACTTAATATTTTTAAATAAAAATCCTTTTTGTCTAGATTATTTTATCTAAATAACTATTATAGTTTATCTTTTAAAAAATACTATACTTGTATATAACTACTACTAGATTCTTTTTCTAAACAAAAAACTAACCGTTTATAACTTCTACTGTATTTTTAAAAAATTTAAACTTTGACTACTTATATACTAAAACAATAAAATTATCATTAGTAAAATCTGTAAATAATCTAATATTAATCACTTACTAACAAACTAATATTAATACAGACTATAAAACCCTATTTTCTATCTATTAATTGCAAACCTTGCTTAAATTGCTATTTAAACTCTTAAAGAATCAATAACATATACAATCACTGATTCTGCTATTATTAGAGCTTTGAAGTTCGGTTCTGTTTGGGTTTAATCAAACCTGAACTCGAATTTGAATCTGAACTATGAAATTTAAATTTTGAACCAAACTCAAACTCAAACACAGAGTTACTAACCCCGAACCAGACTCGAACACAATTATAAGTTCAGTCCGAGTTCAGTTCAAAGTTTATGACATGTTCAGGTTTGGAATGCACATACATACAACATTTTACAAAGATAATAATGTATTATAAGATTATCTAATTTTGTTCTTTTTTTTTAATTTAGTTTTTTATTTTTTGTTAGAGATTTTATTATATATGGCAATACAATATATAAATTGATAATCATATAATTTTTATTTGTTGATATTATCTTTTTTTTATAATATTGTATTATTAAAATATATACAACAGTAAATAGTGATAAAATATAAATAATTTACATTTCAATAACAATTAAATACAAAATTATAATTAAAATTTTAATCTTTGCTAACCAGTCCGTATTTTATAAATTTCAAAAAAGTTAAGAATCTAAGACAGCATTTAACATATCTTCTTCATCTCTTTTATCTTCTTCATTCTTTGCATTGGCTATTTCACCTATCTTTTTTTCAATTACCAGTGATTTATTCTCGCTGATATATTGATTACAGTAATTGTTAAGTTGTGTTGCTCGAAGTAATTTCGCCCATTCATTAATTTCAACTGCATTATCAATATTAACATAAGAATCTTGTATTATTTTTACTTCAACCTGGCCTTTGAGTGGATCAATTCGATATTTATCTGAGGCTCTAAGCAAATCAACTAGAAACACGTCAGAACATTTAGAATCTTTAAAAACTGCTGAAATTGCTTCTTCAAGTTCTTGCCCATATAACCAACGAATCAGAACACGGAATGCTGAAGGATCGATATCGTCGATATCAACAGTTACTTTTTGATGTTCTGCAGCTTCCATCATCTTTCCATCGAATAATGTTTCAAAATATTCAGAAGCGGCTATAAATTTATAAACTTAATTAATAACAATTATACTGAATATTATAAGTATAAAAAATAGTAGTTACCTGAAAGAACATATCGATTAGCTTTTATCTTCTCAATCCCATTTTCGTGCTGAAATTGAAATTCGACATCATGATGCATTGTTCCATCCTGTTTTTCAAACCTATCTAAAAGTCTACTAAGTAACTTATTTCCTTGCGAATAATTTTGTGTTGTTACATTGAATTTAATATTTTTAATTTCTTGAGCTCCGGCTACTTTTAATAATATTTTAAATCCTTGTAAGTTATCATGAACCTTATGTAAACCAGTTCTAACGTCTTCATGGGCACCGAATACAAGATTTTGCCCTGCTACCCAATCTTCAGGGATAAAAGGGTCATTACCATTCAAAAATATTCTTGCATTTGTTCGTAAACGTGATATTATTCTGTTATCAAGACTTTGAACATTTACATTTTCGTAAATTTGATTCTTAATCCAATCTTCTAATGTCTTGTATGTTTTATTTAAAATGTCTAAAATTAATTGAACTCCTTCTGGTGATTTCCATGAATCCTTTTCCGCTTGAGATATATCTAGAGCAACATAATATAAATTGTCAAGAATCTTATCCAATGTAGGACGACATAAATTGGGAAATCTGCTTTTAAATGCATTTGGGGGATCTACCGACTTTGAAAATAATGGGCACTGTGTCCAACAAAGAAGTTTATATTCTTGATAATACATAGAATTTATCGATTCAAACTCTGTTGTTCTAACTGCAGTTTCTTTCAATGGACTTTCCAGATCTGTGTCTACCGGCACAAACTTGATCGATATCAACTCTAACCATTGCTCATTTGTGAAGTTCAAGGTTGCCAAATGTTCATATAAATATTCCATCAAAAATTTTGCATCTGATTTTACTAAATTAATTTGATCATTTAATTGTCGCGATTGAAACATTTTAATTTTTGAATCAATTTCACGTACACATTCCAGAAATGTTAGAGAATTGACTTGATGTTTTAATCCCATTCTTTTTAGAACACTTAAACATCTAGCATTTACTTGTAAAGCAGGATGTAAAAGTTTATTAGTATTCCAAAAAATTCTACGAAAAAGAGATTCATTTATATCATATAAAGTATCCCCTCTGACAAGTTCTGTGAGATGATAATTTGGAATTATTTTAAGCGGCATTAAATAATTTTCAATTTCTCTTTTTTCTAAAGAAAGAACCGTTTTTAAAAAATCAATATATTGTTGATCCAATGTTACGTTTTGTGGTTTCAGATGCTCTTTAACATATTCTAACGGTGTTATGTATTTAGCACCTAGCTTAAATAGCACGTTAAAGTCTAATTCAGATTCTATGAGAAAAATATTTGTTTCTTCTCTAATAGAGAAAAAAGGAATATCTTGTGGAGGTATGATTCCCTCTTGAGCAGATATACAAGTACTACGTGACTGAGTAGGCCATATTGGTAAGGTTTTTAAAAATTTAATTGATTTATCATCTACATGTTTAAATAAATATAATTAATAATTAAATAAATATAGAATTCAATAAATAAATTTTAATGCTTACGTTGAATATTAATAAATTCACTTTTAATAAATGATCTAAACTTTTCAAACTCATCTTGATCAAGTTTTTCAGAAAATAGTCGTTTCAAAGGTACTGGTGGTATTCCAATAGCTCTTTCAAGAGATTTAATCATATTCACTGCAGTTGGTTGCTCGATGCATCCTTTAATATATGGATTACAGTGATTTGGCAATTTCATGGATGTAAATCTAACACCAAACTTTGCAAGTATTGGCACCATTTGATGATATGAATTATATATCAACAAAGGATGTGACAAGTTTGGTAAAACGAGTTTGTGATGAGGTCTGCATGTTGACAATATTGGAAATCTTGCCAATCTATTAAATTCATATGTCGACATTATATCTTGCTCTGGGGATAATAGTTTCAATATTTCAGAAATCCAATTGGCATTTGGATACTGAACTCCATTAGGATCCCATTCGATTTCTTTATCACGTGGTAGAACATATTCTAGTAAATCGATAATGGAATTTATATCTGACGCTAAATCTTTAACTTGAAGCATATTACGAAAATTCTCATCTTTAAAAATCCGTTGAAAATCAAAAGGTGGATCAGCAACAAACTGTGACTGTGCTTTAGGAAATAACTTCCGTATCTCAAGTTCCGCAATGTAATATGTTTGTGAACAAAAGGTCCCTAAAGATTTATCACAAAGCGGTAGTAATTGCAAGCCAACTAGTTGTTTATAATCTTTGGCTTGAATAATAAAGTTCAACAACCGAAACGCTATTTCATGCAACTTTTCTCCTGCAGTGTCCAGAATATTTGGATCGTTTCGAAGCCAATGAGAAACCAAATTTGGAGTGATCAAATTTATAGATGAGAATTCCATTTTTTTAAACATTTGATTAAGATGACTCATTTGATCCTGAGATAATTTGACGATCTCTTTTCCGCGAGTGATAAAAATATCTGCAATAGTTGAATCATTTGAATTCACAAAATATGCCTTATCTAATGAGGTCAGTGCACCTCCATTCGCTTCAGTCCAAAAAACTTTATATCTTTTAAGATATAATCCTCGGAGTACATTTAAACCATATTCTCTGTATATATCTGTAGTTGAAAACTTTATTGGCCATAATTGCGAAAACATTTCATCATTAAATGGTGACATCAAATGGTTAGCTATGTGATCCAAAAGTTTGGAATGTAGTGGAGGTAATACATCTAACAAAATATATCTATTCCACTCTCCTTCCTTTGTTTCAGCCGTTAAGAGATCATTATTATCTTGTAGAACATTCTTTCGGTCACTGGATAGACAAAATGTTCCATTGATGTGAACTCCAAGAGATGTGAGCATAGGAAGTGAAAGATACGAATAAACCTTTCCATTAAGCGATGGAATATTGGAATACTAATGTGGAATATTGAATGTTAATGAAGTCATTACATGAATAAGGTTGATATGATCTAGTAATATTACCTTTTCAGCTTTAAGTTCTTCTAATGATTTACCGTCTCCTACAGACAATAATGCGGCAACACCACCTCTTGCCTCAAAATAATAACCAATTAATTAGTTATCTAGTTAATTTAGAATTATCATTACTGCATTATTTAAAAATGACTTACTGAAAGGTTAATCTCTTTAGAAATCTCTCTAAATCTGGATTTGTCTACCAAATTACTACCACCCGAACAGATTAGCCACATCTCTGAATATTTACCATTTTTATAAAATCTACTTTGCCTACAATACATTTCCATTTCGAGTTGATATAGTCTTGCCTCCCATGAATGAGAAATACGAAGTCCACGAATTTCATCATTCATATTCTGAATTTTTGTCTCCCAAATTAACTCCATATTACCTATTAAATTCATTTGGAATAAACTACATTGTTCAATATTTCTTAAAAATAACATCTCACGATTTCCTTGTATATTTTCAAAAATTCTGCTTCTGAGATCTTTTGGTTTTATTACTTGATTGGATAATTCGCTTATCGATGTTCGTAGAGGTAATCTAAATAAGGTTCCCTTAAATTTCTCTTTAAGTTCACAATCAAAAATTCCAAGATATGGTAATGCTTGGTCCTCAAATCGTTTTCTGAAATCTTTTTCAATGAAATTAATTTTTGTTCCACGAGGACTGCGAGGTGGATTTCCAGTTTTCGGCAAAAATTTTTCTAACGGATCAAAAAAAACTATATGTTCCCCACTAACCTATAATTATGAATAAATTAAAATTAGTTTGTTAAAAGATTTAAAAGTTACAACATTTAATGTTGTAAATGTTCTTACAAAACTTGGGAAATCGGTCAAATGATATGCACAATTGAAACCAATTCCAAATCTTCCTATTTTCGTTTTATCATCCCTCTTTCCTCCCATGCCAAGTTTTTTTAAGGATTCGAAATCATGTTGAGAAAATTCTGAATCATTATATATCCATAAAGCCGGTCCTTGCCATTGATCCATTTCATCGGATAACAATGAATTTTGTTTGTCGGAAGTTATGTTAAGAAAATTAAACCATTTATTAGCTTTCCTATTGTCTCTATCATCAATAATAAAGCAAATTTTTCTTGCTCCCGCATCGTCAGCATTCTATGAATATAAAAAAGTTTAACTATAGATGTAGACATTATAATTAAAAAAAAATCACTTATTTCTTCATACCTGTAGAAATTCAGGAAATATTGATCCAAGCGAATAATCCTAAAAATTATTAATGAGTAATATTGTTAATAAACCACTACCATCATAATTAAACAATCAAATTGAATAATTTACAAGTATTTACCCTAATGATATTACGTATTCTAACAGATAACTGCTCATTTTGTTCATAGACTTCACCATAATCATTATTTGTCCCGGCTAAATAAAAAGAACTCACAAATTAAATTATCAACAAATTCAACATAATAAATGTAAGAAAATGTTATACTCACAATCAATAAATTTTCCAGCAAGCATTTTAATCCCAAGAGTTTTTGCAACAGAATAAGCTATTAACGAATGAACTATTTTTAATTCATTTTTCTCATCATCATCTAACCTTGTTTTCATATCATCATAATAAATATCATGTAAATTCACTAATAGACAATCTGTACTTGGTACAAGCAAATCTTTTAAATTTTCACAAGAGTCACTTTGTTCATTAGTTCTTTGTTCATTAATTCTATTTACAATTAGTTCAATAACCGATACGACCTTGTGTAATTCTTCATTAGATAATGTCTTTGTAGTGTTAGAGTCAGTAGAATGAAACTCTTTTATGATGCTTATTAAGTCAGGAATATCTATTTTTTGTCTAACACCCATCTCTTTAAATAATTCCTTGCATGACCTAAATGCATAGGGAAGTTCGACAATTAGTGATGCTTTACTATCCAAATTTTTATCAAGTTTCATCACGACCCTATGCGATGAATAAAATTTGTCATTGCAAAAGATCCATTTTTTATCTTTAAGTTTTTCTTTAAATATTACCAAGTTGGAATTATTATACATCTCATCATTCATATATTTATATACTTCTTCACATATTTTGAAAGTATTCTCATTTATTGTTTTCATGGATAAACAGGCATTAAGTTGCGCTATAATAGCATCAACAGGTGGACGAGACTCCCATTTCAAATTTTTAATAAAAGACCTGTTATCAAAAGTATAATCTATAATTGGCATTACTAGTCCAACCAAATTTTTATGCATTATACTTCTGCAATCACTTGCCCTTGAAAATTTTTTCTTGCCAGTGGAATCAACCGTTGGAATCCATTCTTTGGTCTGCAATACTAATGTAAGTTCATTATAAATTATAGGTGCGTAACGTGCTTGTAATCGTTGATTAGTTCCCAAAAGTTTATCATAATTTCTATCAATATATTTAACTAACTTCAGGGATTTTTGATGTACAATATTAGTTTCATTATCCTTTCGTTTTGCAAATATATTGATTCGTTGAATAATATCAGTGGAAGAAAGATATGGTTTCATCCCCAACGTTTTTAATGATATCAAAAAGTTGTCACGAAACTTTTCAGAGAAATTTTTAGCAGGAAACAAATACTCATCATCAAAAAATAATTCTGAAGCGGAATAATTATCAGGATCAAATAAATCGGTAGGTTTCTTTAATTTAACATCAGCATTTTGAATTTCTTTTTTATGTACATTAAGAATCGTGGTTGCTGGTATAAACTCTATATTTCCTAAATCATATTTTAGATGTTGATTCTCTGATAGAAGTTGTAATCGTTCAAAAAGTCTTATTATAACGATTTCAATGGTTTCCAGTGTTTGACTTCCCAGATATGGAATCACAAATTTAGTCCAATACTCTTGTTGTGATAATCGTTTAACTTTTATGATATTTTCTAAAAGAAATCTTTTGTTGTGTGTTGTTGCATCAATAAATCCTTCTGTATTTGGCGCAATTATTTGACCATAACTTTTCTCGTCTTCACATGGAAGCAAATACCAATTTCTATTACTGGGTTCAAGTGCAATAAGCGCATCTTTACCAACTTCAGAAAAAATTGGAAGATGCTTGACAACATAGTTGGTAGGAGTATCAGGAGATAAACAACGCAAATAATTAGCTATTATTTCTGCTTCTTGAGGTTGCAATTTTATCTGAACATTTTTTGGAAAGGTATTAACTATACTTAAGCAAGTCAATACTTCCGTTAAATTTTCAAGACCAACTACGTACTTTGACATCCTAAAAAAAATAATAAAGTTAATAAATGTTAATAAATATCAAAAATAAACAATAATTATTACAAACAGTACTTTGATCGGTCATAAGTAACAAGTTTCTCGAATTGTTTATCAACAAAAACGATACCAAACCTCTCAATAAGAGGTTGCACATCATTGTTAAGTTTATTATTAACACTGTTCCAAAAACATTTCTGATTAGTTTTTAATTTTCTAAGATTACCACTATTAGTAGGTAGTAAATGAATATCTTCAAATTCTGTCAGATCATAATCCCTTTCTTTAAGATTCGCCCAGATCTTATAAATCCAATCACACGAATCACACAATGGAATCTCATTACATCCAACTGAATATCCGTTCAACTCTTTTGTGATCATGTTTGCTACTACGGATGGATCAAGGATTTTAATATTGAGATCCCATCCTTCTTGGGCACCTTCGTATAATAGATTCCATAACTTTGAAGGAATGTTTTTATCAATAAATTTGTTTAAACTATTTGCAAAAATCTTTCTCTCATCATTATTGTCAATCGAATTATTTTTGTCAGGACCAATATAAGCAATAAAGTCTTTTGATGTTGGTTTAAATCCAAAATATTTTTTCAGGTGTGAAATAGTCCCAAAGGTTTCATCAGATAATGGAATCATTTTAAGACCATCTAATTTAGCATAATCTTTGTCACTAAGTACATATTCAAATAATGCTATAACATCTTCTCTTTTTTTGTTTTCCCATTTTGATTTATTTTGAAGAAGATACATTCTAACGGCATGTGGAGAGCAAATATTTAAAGAATTTTTATGACAAGATTTTTTCAACTCGTCGTATACTTTAGGATCAATATTAATTATAGGGAATCCTATGCTTTCAATAATCTTTGAAATATCAGGAGAAGCCGATTCATCCGGTAGGAAACTATTTTCGATTGAGAATAAATGAAACGCAGTCTCACGGGACATGAAAACCTTTTGACACGATGGTAATATACCAGACATGTTTCCAAGCGTGCAAGATCTTGGAGGACCACAGAAAACTTTATCAGAAATAGTGAAGTTTTCAATCGTATTTAGCAAAATATTTTTTGTTTGATTGTTAACAAAACCTCCGGAACCAGATTCTTTAATGATTGGCCAAAAACTATAGAACTCTTCTGCATTGATGTCGGGTGCTTCGTTAGGAAGATGGACTAAAAACTTTGCCCATGCCTGTGGGAGAATAACATTAAAAAGGTATTGGTTCCATGAAACTTTGAGCTTGGCTAATGTACCTTCAGCCTAAATAGAAATAATACATCAAATTTAAATCTTGAAATATTAAGACATTAACAATGATTCATATGACTTCATCATTTGAAATGATATACCAAATCTTCGCCATCTGTAGCAGACCATAACGAACGTCGATTTGTGCTGACCTTTTTAAATACAAAAACCAAAAAAATCAATAATATGTTCCAAAGCAATAAAAAAAAATATTAAATACAGACTTACAGCAAAATGACCATGTACAGATACGCGAAAAGGCATTAGTATTGGAAGAGGAAGAAAGCAAAATAATCTTCCAATAGCTTCAGGGTTATTAAGTTGAACTGCAATTCCAACATTTGGAATAAGTTTATAATCAATTATTTTCCTTTTAAAGGTTTCATGAAAATAATTAGCAGCAACATTTAAATCGCCAAGCCAACAAAATATAATCCAATGACTTTCTCGTGGTGTTTTATCACTTTTTTGTTGACGAAAAGTCACAGTAAACACAGATTCCAATTTAGTATCACCAGAAAGTTTTTTTTTACCAAGTTCCTTCATCAAAGAAACAATTCTTTCAGCAATCAAACCGCGTTTCTTGCGTATTTGTTTTGCATTTACAATCTCTATTGAATAGAGCAACTTTGGAACGGACTCATTTTCTTTTAGCTCAAAAAACTTGATACTTTCAACAGATTTCAAGAAAAGAAGACAATTGATGCTTTCATTTTCATAAAACTTGTCAAACATATTTAATATTTTAGTTGGATTGTATTTATTCTTGGAAATTTCAGAATCCTCAGCATCTTGAATTGTACGAAGAGGGTAACGAAAAAGAGTACCCTTAAATTTCTTGTTACATGGAATACCAAACGGATTAATGAATGGAGCAAGTTGATCGGGATAATCGGCAGCAATATTATCATCAATAAAATTATATCTAACACCACCATCGAAGTACCAACAATGTGGCTAAAATAAAATTTAGAAATATAATTATAAATCATTATCGTTAAAAGATTACTAAAACAAAAAAAAAAATAATGTTGAATAAAAGTTTGATACACACGTCGAGAATAACATATTGATCACCAGTAATAAAAGTAGGAGAATCGGTTATATGGTAAATAGAGTTAAACCCCACACCCATCGCTGTTGATTAAAATAAGTTATGTATTAAGGAATTATGATTGATGATATTATATTGATTATATGTTACTATACTGCCATAGCACTAAAATTACCTCCTATTTTATCAAATTGATCACGCTTTTCACTATTAGCCAATCTCAATAGCGATTCAAAATCACGTTCTTCAAAAACGGCATCATTTCTTGACAAAAGTGCAGGACCTTGATATCTATCTAATTTCAGGTTACTTTTACTATATCCATCCAATATAGGCTCGATTAATTTATTAGTTGGATAAGTATTGTGATCCTGTTAACGAATTAATATAAATGATGGTTAATATTTTAAAATATAAATGTCGTGACACCCGACTGAAGTTGCGATTTCGTTTCACTTGACTGAAATTAGCACCCGAAATTAAATCATCTTGCACGTTTTAGTTAGCAATTTTAGGCAGGTGTAACTTCAGTCAACTGAAGTTGCAACTTCAGTCATGAATAAATAATGAAAATAATGAAAATAAATAATGAAAATAATGAAAATAAATAATGAAAATTGAATATACCAGTAAAAATGTTTGTGAGCGGCTTTTAGAGTCATCAGAATTTTGAAGAATTTCCCGGAGGATTTGAGAACCATCCGGATATTCATCAAGAATTTTATTCAGACGATGAGTGTATGGCTCACCAGGTTTAAAAGTTTTACCCTTCATTAATGTCTTTATTTTAAAATATAAACTTGAGAAAAAACTACGTTAAGATGTATTTACAATGAGATATTTAAACTTTTTCTGAATAAGCGGAAAGACCGCTTTTGATTCTCCGTGTATTCATTTCACTTTTTATGTGTTATTGTTTCCTAATTGGTTAGTGTATCGTATGTACACAATCTCACATTTCGGACTTACAATTAGCCTGCATTTTTTACGTCCTTATATGGTTACGTAATAACAATAAGTGATTGAATTTATTAAACTGGGTTAGATGACGTTTACACAACCGAGTGCGGTTAATATCTATATAATATTGAAGGTATTTTATATATAACATCTAATAACGTCTAATACGGATATAGTCTTCCGGAATTGAAATTAAATATCCAAGCATGGAAAGCAGACTTTGAGCTTTCAAGATAATTATTTACCGGACTCAATCCTGTTCAGAGTCATATATGGTATGTAAGTAAATTTAATATAGATCGCAGGCCAGGGCTAAATCCGGTACGTAAATAATAATAAACTTGAAATTTTTCTAAAACTGACCTACAGCGCATTTATCATCACGTGCCTCTAAAAAGACATTCAGGTACTGTACGTACGTACGTACGTTAAGAAAGTCTGCACTGCGTCGGAAAATTGCAAGGTCGATCTATGATCTACTCACTATACAATAACTACTCTAACCAAAACACCGAATATTGGTAAGGTTTTCGATCGAGGAGTGAAAAGTAGGGTTGTTAGTTCAGATGGCATGCCACTGGCGCAATATTATAAATTTATATATATAGTAACAAGTATTAGTGGAGCGCCGCTGGCGCCTTTTTATTTTAGTCCATGTTGTACGATATTTTATAATAAAAAATTTTGGGACCTACATTCCATATTAAATTATTATAAAAAATCGATTTACTTTGCTTTAATTTCTCTCGCAATATTTAACATTTTTAAATTCTATAAAAACAAGATGTTTAAAGAAAAGTGTCTTTATAACGTAATAACGTTAAAATTTATCTCACTAATCGAAATATGTCACGGCTTACCTGAGTGTCCACTATGATACGATTTACTGCGATTACATAGTATTTCATTGTCCGGGTTTTCTCATAAATTTAAAGTATACGACAAATATAATTTTATTTGTACATGTTTATTGGTTCAAAAGTTATTAAGGGCTAGGAAACGGGAATCGTTGGAGTCCGGAGCCTAGATATTTAAATAATTTTCCTATAAGATTTTATATCTTGGTTTGGGTTTTGAAATATTCTTTTTTGTAGCACTTATCTTAATTTTAAGTTCCATATAAAATTTTTTGTCTCAATGAGGCCTATAAAAAATATATATATATAGCTTGATAAATAAAAAAGTTTAATAAGTGAGTCATATATATTATATGATCTTTTTATGATTAGATAAAATATATTAAACAATGACGTAATACAATAATAAAAAAAATTGAAGAGGATTATTTTTTTACGTCTTCAAAGTATACTATATATTACAGGGGTACACAGTCTAAATGGCAAAGCTTTCGCACCGATCTGGACATCAATACAGGGGCAACTGTGACAAGTCTGGACTGTAAAGTCCTCCACTCCGCTCCGGACAATAACATTTTCAACATTTAATTCAAAATTGAATTAAATTTCAAAACAACATACTCGATAAAAAAAATAATTTAGAATACATTTAATTTTATTGTAAATTAAATTTGAATTCTTTAAAAACTCGAGTACAATTTTGAATTTTAACACAGCCTACTAGCATGTAACCCGTCGCATTGCACCGAGTAAATTATGCATATCTATCATCGGGTTATGACCACATTTTAATCAGGGATAGTAAATGACCCAAATGACAAATACTAGCCATTTGTAATTTCAAGGCCCAAATGACCTTAAAAGGTCATTTAACATATGTTATTTAATATTCTAATACCTTTTTTAACCAATCCGAATTGGCCGCCAAGCAAATTAAATTTTATAAAAATATAAACAATAATCGTAGCTATATATCAAAATTAAAAGTTTACTAAATGAATTAATATTTATGTCTCAAGTAAAGTTGTTCTGAAATTTTTATAACCTTTTATTAATTCATTTCTGCATCTTACGTTTAAATGAAAAAATTTTAAATGCTTTTCGTGTAAACGCAATATGCGAAAGCAAATTAATAAAAAGTCATTCAATTTACGTGAAATTTTCAAAATATATGCAATTTGTTATCTCCTTAAGGAATAAATATTAATTGACTTAGTAAAATTTTAATTTTAATATATAACTACGATTATCGATAAAGCTCGATAATTTTTATGAGTAATTCAACCAATAAAATTACTTTATATGCAAATGACCCAAATAACCTTTAATAACTCAAATGACCTGGCCATTATTTGAGTAAGCGAGGGGGAAAAGATGCAAGTAACACCAAATATTGTACGATTTTGACAAATCAAATTTCAAGATCAGACTGATTTTAAAATTTGATTGGTCAAATCGTACAATATTTTGTGTTACTTGCACCTTTCCCCCTCGTTCACTCATTTGATGATTTGGGGTCGTTTAAATTTTGATCAAATGGCCAGGTCATTTGCCAACCCTAATTTTAATAGCAATCGGGTTTACTCTTAAATCGGGTTTATAATAAATAAAGGATTAGTTTGTTGTGAAACTTTAATAAACCGGGTTAAGATCAAATTCGATTTTATTTATTACTATGAAAAAATATATATACTGCAATCATTTTCATTTTACAGTCCATCCAATTCGGATTTTTGAATTTCCGTGGGTGTTTAAAAATATGAATAATTTACAACAAACAGTAGGATGAAATGTTTTTAATATTAAGATCAGTAGAAATATGAGCATTGACCTTTAATTTTGTGCAAGATATTTCACTTTTTTTTAATGTTCGAAAATCTAAATATTACATAATTTAATTTTTTATACATGCTATCCTAAACGTGACAGTGCAGTACTGTTTAGCACTAAAATGGTTTACTAAATAAGAGATATTTATTCAAAATCAATTTAAGTGGATCTAAATCTATTTCAATGCACAACATTGCTGTATTGTTAACAAAATATTAATGCATCATTTGTATAAGGTAGTAAGGCCATTTAAAGGTGATTCTTCAGTTAACATCACTTTCTAGGACTCTTGGGAGGGGGTAAAATGAAACAAACATATAAAAATGAACAAATATAGTCAATTTCATTGGTCGATGTAATTCAAGTGATCAGCAAGTTATTCAGCGTTTTGATTGGCTGTTTATTTTTTGGGGGAGACTTCAACCAAGGGGGTGATGTTAACCAAAGAATTAATTTTGAACAGCCTAATAGTCAAAAATAACTATTTAATTTTGAAGCGTAGCAGAGAACATTAAATGTTGGGGATGATGTTTAAATCAGATGATATTGAAATTTATGTGATCACATAATGTTTTTCTATATAAACAAACCTAAAGTGCTTATAGAACCTTAGTATCATCAATTAAAAAATTTTAGTATTAATGTTAGGGTTAGGGTTTGGGTATAATCATATTTTAATTGTTCTAGTGGAATTAGATGTAATATATATAAAATAAAAAATTTTTCAAATTTTATCTTTATTTAATAAGTCTTTCTTTCTTAAAGAAACTTCTTTTTAATAAACTTATCTTTTACACCTATAGATACAGTTATCACTTTATCAAAAAAATATTCATTATATTTTTTAGAATATTTTAAAGAAAACCACTTCAACCAATTCTGCTATTCTTAGAATTTTATTAATTATATCAATCACATTCTGAATATGAAAATCTTTGTCAAAACCTTTTTACTAATATCTCAGACCAAGAATAGCAAGATTTTTAATGAATTTATCTAACCAAAAGGCAGGTTCATCAAAAATTTGTTATAAACACATCAAATATGCTAGCTCCAAAGCACAAAAACTTTTCTGACAATTTTTTAATAAATGTTTTCAACTTCAAAAGGTTTTCACAGATTGGAAATTTTTCAATATATTTTTTATTTTCAAAAAATCAAACTGAGATTTTACTCTTAATCAAGTTTATACTAAAATCTTTTAAAAAAACCTTCACTAAAATTTTTACTAAACAACTTGACCAAATTATTTTTAACAACTACCTTTTATCAGATCTAAACTTTGCTGTATTGAAAAATTTATTTACACATATTTCTATACAAATCCTTCATAATACTATTGGATATTATATATTATATAATAAAAAAACTTAGATTTTCTAAAGTTTTTGATAAAATTAACATTTTATAACTTCAAAGTAATAGATATCTCTTTCTTAGAAATAAACTTAATTACTAAACTTCACACTGCAAGACAAGCAAAAATTATTATAGCTTATAGTTTTATCTTCCAGTTAATATCTGATATTGAACAAGAAAAAACCTATTCACAATTTTTCTAAAAATTTATTATGACTATACTTATTTTTATCCATCAAAACTATTAAAATCAAATGTTTAAAATTGCATTACAATTCCCTCTTGATATTATTACCAATACTATCTTTGCAAATAATAACACTTCTTAAGTACAATTAAAACATTACTACATAACAGCAAGAATCAAATACAAATCTCTATCAACCTTAACAGCTAAATAATACATTAGCTAAATAACTTTTATTACAGACAGAAAATATCTCTTAATTTTACCATTAGCATATATAGATGACACAACATGGATCTGTGAAAATTCTGAAACTATACAAAATATTTTAATAATATATTCAAACTCTACAAAATTAACAATATTGATATTCATTTTACTAAGTCTGACTTATTTCATATCCATCCTAAATAATATAAACTTCTACCAACTTCTTTACACTTTGACAACCAAACTATTTTATTTAGAAAACCAAATGATATCATTAGATATATAGATATCTATCTTGACAGAAAGCCTCAACCAAGCCAATATTAGATATGATTTATCAGAAAATTAAGAACTTTATCTGTTTGATCAGA